TATATACCTTTACTTTTAATCAATGAGCACTGATTGGTCCTGCGTGCTAAGCAACGATGAGTACAATGTGTGACACGGTGGTGAAAGGTAACCAAGTTGACCATGCATTACGTAATCATAGCTAGTGTAGGCTACCTCAATTCCCCAACAAGAAACCTAACACAAACATAGAAGCAATACTCCGTGAACACACCCGGTAAAGCAAGTGGATTTTACAGATACGTGTTATGAGTATTGTATATAGAAAATGCCGAAAATAGGTGCTTACATGTACTAGTGGCGTCATATCTTGTGCGACGGTGTATAACAGGAGAACAGCAACACAACATCTAACATTACTTACGCTGCGGCGTTCTCTCTCTCTCTCTCNAGAGAGAGAGAGAGAAAGAGAATAGGAGAGAAAGGGAGAGAGAGGCACGACAGCTCTCTAGACGTAGCAGATGCTAAATGAACGCAGTCAAGCGGTCCTATCATCGAGTAAACAACTCCCGAATGCACAGATCTTCGACAGCTCACACGCACAGCCTTCCCTAATGCTAGCTGCGTGTGTGTGTGTTACGTGTGTGTGTCTGTGTGTGTGTGAGTGCGGGTGCGTGCTAAACGAAGACAAGTATATACTTCATCCCACTTGCCTATATGGCTGCTTTTTTCACATTTTCACTCGGTATATTATCTAGGATTTAAAAAAAATACAACCGGAGCGTTGCATTTCCGCACGGAGTTATAGAAAAACATCGATGAACCGCTTGGCTTCAGTAAATCTGCTGCCACCATCGTAGCTAAACTCACACAAATCAGCTGTTCTCCCTGTCCATCACACATGACGCACCAGCGCTGGCACGCGAGTTCACTTCACTAACACGACAGCTTCTCAAGTCAAATAAGATCGGCTTGCTTTAGAGGGAGAAACACACACACACACACACACACACACACACACACACACACACACACACACACACACACACACACACACACACACACACACACACACACACACACACACACACACAC